TACAACTTTTCTGCTGCAGATATAGAGGGAGTGGAGTAAAACTCTCCCGTTCCTTAACGCAATCCCCGACAATCTTAGTCCCAAGTTAAATTTTCACTCATGAGTGATTTCCATAACTCAAGTTAATAGACTGAATACCATTTTCAAACTTCTATTTACCCATTATAACTATAAGTAACTATAATGAATACTACAAACCTATGTTTCATTAGTGTTTATATGCTGCTTATAACCTTGCCAATCAAATCAAAAAAATGCCAAGCAATAGCAATACATAAGGAGAGCTTTCCATTTGACCAAACAATTCAGTTCAGAAGGTTTAGAGCTGAATTAAAAGGTTAGCAAATTCCTTGTGAATCATTCAACCAAACTTACTGGCAATTCCAGGAGCAAAATGGAATGGAAATTTTAAGGCAGAAAATATTGAAAACTTGGGTACACGGTGCATATTTGTTCCCTTTTGCTAAATTTTCACCATCATTAACTCGTCAAGAACAGTCAACCAGAAGATTCTGTTTCATTGGCGGCTCGAAATTTCCAGAAATTGAAACCGAATTGTTTACTCAAATGGAGTGCAACCAAGCTTTAGAGTGTTTTCACTAAACATTTTTCTGTGTTATCATGCAAACGTTTCCTTGGGAGAAAAAGAGATGTGTGATGAGGCCAAACAAAGAAAAAAACAGACTAAAGAAAAAAAGCGAATGCCCGGATTCAAGTCGGGCAGCTGGCACATGTTTCGGGGAATTATGCAGAAATAACCACATTATGGCTTTTGAATTGTTAATGATTAAGCTACAATCATGGACAAAAGTGTTGAGACATTTTAGCAAAACTAACGCTTTCGAACTAACAATAATACTTTGTTTTTGAATAAAAACACCGTTTTCATCTCTAGTCAACCCCCTCCCCCCAAACAATGTTGCAAAACGCTGCGTTGATGATTATTCGTTTCCAACATTGGAAAAGGGGGAAGGGGAGGTTACCTTTCACGAGGGGAGAGGGGAGAATTTACACCTAGGGAAATAGGGATGGTAATTTTCATGTGTCTCAACAACTTTTGTCCGTGATGGTAGCTGTATTGCAGCACAAGTGCGGAATCACCACCAGCAGTGGCTTCCAAAGATTATAAACTTCTGGCGTTTGTCACTCTAATCAGAAAGAGAACAGTCAAAGTGAAAAAAAAAAAAAACCAGTCAAACTCCAAATTCATTTTCCGGTTTTTCGCTTCCCGATGTAATTTTTCCGCGTTTAACGAGCACGTGGTTTGGAGCACTAGTTCCCAGATTTCAGTTGTTCCAAACGAAAAAGCGCGGTTACTTTGAATTGTATTTGCATCAACTTTGAACAAAACGTGCAACTTTCACATCTTCTGCCAGCTGCCCGGCTTTTTGGCCTAGAATGGAGGCAACTATAAACAGTGTTTCTTTACCAGTCGAGAGAGGAGTTCCTAAAAGGTAAGAAAATACAAGTTCACTGTACTATATGGTCTTAAACTCTTTGTTGATGTGTTTGCCTGTAAATTATTTGTTTCAATTCGTACGCGGCCAGTTCACAAAAACGTACGGAAACAAAACACCCAACGATATTGCACTACACGGAATCTTTAATTAAGCGTAATAAATAGTTATTACAATATTTGTCCCCTTTATTCACTGCTGGGCATAAAGGCTAAGAGGAGAACACTGTAAGCTTTTAAACTTTCTCAAGTATTCCCGTATAGATTTAAGTTGTCTCAGCTATCCTCAGCTATGGTTATAGAAAAAGTTTGACTGCTAGCACAAAGAAATGTCAAAACGTGTAAC